CGTTACCTTTAATCTCTCAGTTGGTGGTGGGTGTTGTTGACTAGCTACGTTACCTTTAATCTCTCAGTTGGTGGTGGGTGTTGTTGACTAGCTACGTTACCTTTAGTCTCTCAGTTGGTGGTGGGTGTTGTTGACTAGCTATGTTTTATTTGAAAGTAGTTTCGTATGGTGTTTCTCACACCTCCAAAATCTGTTGGAGGCGAGTATCTCGGAGTAGGATTGGCGGGAAAGAATGGTTCGGTGTGACGGGGATTCGAACCCGCAGATTGCGAGTCGAGTGCCCTAACCACCTGGCCATGCCGGGCCGTAGTAGTACAGTAGTGAACTCCAACCAAATTAGAAGGTGCAGTGACACTGCCGTTATTCTGTATACGGGATGGAAGTTTGGGCAATATTTTGGATATTTGCTACAGTTGTTCCAATTACTGGAAAGCCGCTATTCGTACGGTTCTGAAACGATTTAAGCACTCATACATTACATTAGAAACAGCAGCTTTAAATATGTTTTAGAGTCAATGAAATGTGCGGTGATAAAAGTGATAAAATTATTGTTCTTATGGTATCTATGGGAATACCATTAGGCCTATTATAATGGGAGAGTGTATATAATATCTATTAGGTTTTGAGCCCGTTTGTAACGATATTGTAACCTAAATTAACTTAGGTATGTGAATACTATTCGATATTATACAGCGAATATGCAGACCACAACAGAAGATAAGGCCAATTAAAGAATGCATAAGACCTCTACGCTATGGATTCTCTTTTCAATTTTTTACCTCTGGTGAAAAAGAAAAGAAATATTTAACATATATATATATATATACATGGTGTCCCAAAACTCTGGACCCATAGGAAAATATACATTATATTATTAAAGTTAAAGAAACACATTTCTAATGTCAGTTGTGCATATTTCAGGAATGAATATACCTTGCTGGCACAGCATACCAAAAATTGATATGTATATGGCTGTTCATGGCGTGTATATGGCTGTTCATGGCGTGCAATTTGAATAATAAATAAATTAAGAATACATTATGTATATTTATCCCTATGGGTCTAGACTACTGGGACACCCTGTATATATATATATATATATACTATTGTCTTATACTTATCCTTCTTGTTAAAGAAACAAAACATATAGTGAACGTAGAAGGACCAGAGTGAAACAAAATTCAACTAATACATATATTAACTAAGGATCGTTGACAACCGTAACAAATATATTAACATTTTTTACGAATGTGTTTTTGATCATCTTAATGTTGAAATACTCCTTTAGCTACTAAGCTAAAACTGATGATTTAAGAGCCTAAAATTATGTGAAATGTGTTTTTTTTTAATTTCGTGCAAAGCTACACGAGGGCTATCTGCGCTAGCCGTCCCTAATTTAGCAGGGAAGGTAGCTAGTCATCACCACCCAACGCCAACTCTTAGGCTACTCTTTTTTGACCAACGAATAGTGGGATTGGCCGACATATTATAACGCCCCCACGGCCGAAAGGGCGATCATATTTGGTGGGACGAGGATTCGAACCCGCGACCCTCAGATTGCGAGTCGAGCGCCTTAACCACCTGGACATGCCGGGCCTTTGTGAAATGAGGGAATAATGACATAGTGATATAAGACGCTATATTTGTTTTGATATTTACCCTGCCAGCTTAAGTTCGGGGTAGTATCTTATTCCTAATTAATTTTAAAATAAAATGCCATATTTAAATCTATTATGTCTGTTATATATTAAGAGTTAAAGAGTAGTAAAACATATTTCAGTTTGTATTATTGTTCTTATAAAAGTCCGAAAATTCATGTTTTAATCAAGATAAAAACAAACTCATTTATCTAAGAAAATAGTTTTGCAAAATAGAAAAACTATGTAATCAATAAATCTGACCATTTTGTATAAAAGTATCTGATATTTTTAAAGATGGAAACGCTTTAGTGTAGGTAGCTTAATAGAACTCATAAGTGGGAAAACATGCTAGTTTCATGCACAAAATATGTAGGTATATAAACACCTCTTTCACTAAGTGCAAACTTTACACCTTAGCACCCACAAAACAATAGAAGTCAGTTGTGATATTGTTTGTGAAAACAAAAAGTAGTGACATCTGATCAAAACATTTTATATGTACAAAAACACTAGTTAAAATAAAGGGTTCAGCCAAATAAAAGAGTGATATCCAAAGCAGTTTGTTTGTTTGTAATTAAGTACAAAGCTACACAATGGGCTATATGTGCTCTGCCCGCCACGGGTATCGAAACCCGGATTCTAGCGTTGTAAGTCCGCTGGGGGGCATCCAAAGCAGAGCTTGTTTGTTTGTAATTATACACAAAGCTACACAATGGGTTATCCGTGCTCTGTCCACCACGAGTATCGAAACACGGTTTCTAACGTTGTAAGTCCGCAGACATACCGCTGTGTCACTGGGGGGGGGGCATCCAAAGCAGAGCTTGTTTGTTTGTAATTATGCACAAAGCTACACAATGGGTTATCCGTGATCTGCCCACCACGGGTATCAAAACACGATTTCTAACGTTGTAAGTCCGCAGACATACCGCTGTGCCACTGGGGGGCATCCAAAGCAGAGCTAAGTTATATAAAAGAACAAACCCTGTAAAGATATAATGTCAAAGCGGACAAATCAAACAAGAAAATATTGGGGAAAACTTGGCAACATTTTTTTATGTTCATGTTGCCGCCTTTTGTTTTCAATAAACAAGGATGCCAATTTTTTCTTATTTATTTTACCCAGTTTTACATTTTACATTACACTTTTATCGGGCTTGTCTTTTTACATAACTTAGTTTTTTTTTCTTCACTGTTACACCCTTATATGTTTGGCTTCTTTATTATAGTCTGGCTGTTTTTGTACACATAATATTTGTTTGGAAAAGATAACGATAAAATGAAAACTATATAAAACTTTCAGATTTTTCT